ATTTGACAATTTTTCCATATCTAACTACTAATAACTGTCAAATGTCAATTTTAATGTATGTACAGGTCATTTATATTCGAATGTTGAAAAACTTCAATCAAACTTTGTCCGATTGTACTCGGCCAGCGATTTGGACTTGAGTGGTAACAAAATAGATTATGTAGGTAACAAACCTTTATTTTCCTGATATTACGACACCACCTGTCTAAGGGTAGCAGAGGTCAGCACTAGTCGTTCTGGTCAAACTAGAAACACATCTGTATGGACTGGTTATTAGAATTGAGCACACACATTTCTAACAATTATGAAATTAGATATTTTTAATTCTTCAGCTATTCGCAGCCTGTGACAGCTAACTGGAGAGCCATGCGTCGGCACAAACGGGCCGGCTCAACCGGAGTGATACCACGGCCTCACAGAAAATAGACGTGAAACAATGCTTGTCGTGTGAGTGAGGTTACCGGAGGCCCAATTACCCCCTTCCCCAGTCTCTCCAATCCCCGAATCCCAAAAATTCTCAAACTCCTAATTCCCAAAAGGCCGGTAACGTACTTCTAACGCCTCTGGTGTTTTGGGTGTCCATGGGCGACGCCGATTGCTTACCCTCAGGTGAACCGTCTGCCAGTATTCCGGCTTATCACAAAAAAAAAATATGTGTCTCTTCTACATAAACGTTGTTCGCTATAATAATCTACATGTATGGGGAGCGGGCTTGAAGTTCGCTGTTTAAAAGGTTCTGGTTTATAAGACAGTACTGCTACCTGCTATTTATTAAATGTGTAGTCCTTTAGTTGATCCTAATGAAAACCATGAAATCAGTTAGAGAGGTAAGTCTGGGCCGCCGTCACTACACGACACCATATTAATTTTATATATTTATTTACTGTCTCGTTGGCCGAGTGGTCGAAGGTGCATCTGCAGGGCAAGGAGTTTCGGTTTCGATTTCCGGGTCGGGCAAAACATTATCGAGTTTAAAAAATATCAGTAGGTGCTGCTACTGATATTTTTTCTGGAGTCTGGAATTGTGTCCGGTATATGGCAATAGACTCGACCCCTATTATGTGGGACTCATATAATAAATAGCAAAAATGTGATTTTACATTGTATAATGGTATTTAATGACGAATTGTGCATGTCTCTAAATGGGAAGTCTACCTTCCCATTCGGGGATAAAAAGCGTGATGATATTTATTAATTATTTTATATTTACGAATAACTCATTCTATTTATGAAATTTCTAACAAAATATTAAGTAAAAGTTCTTCACATAAGTCTAATATAAATAATAATTCATCGGTCATCGCCCTCGATGGGAGCGCATTCATTTTTTGCAAGAGATACATTCACTTGCACTTCAGTAATCGTCTGGTCTCGGTGAAATGGCCAAATGACCACATTTGTACGTCTACACTGCCATGTAATTACTCTTAATTGTGAATTTAATGGACAGCTACTGTGTGATGTCGTTTAATACAGCTTAGTTAGCTTACTTTTAACTCGTTGAGTACCGTCATTATAGACACAATTATAGAACAATAGGTTGCGGTCACCGGTGACCGCTTGGTGTTTGACAGTTTTAGCTTGGTAATTTTAATTTTCTGTAGTCTTGTTTCAGGGCGACAGCATTAAATTGCTTCGCCTGCCTTCGATGAGGTGAAAGAGTGTCAGACTTTTCTACTCAGACTCTCTGTCAGACTGCCTAAAACCACCCCGTTATCACTCAGGCTTGGGATCCTCGATAACCCACGAGGTCGACCACATTTTTTGTAGTCTGTAGTGATGGTTTCCGCTATTGCTAGACCTAGAAGACCTATAGAATATTTATATCATTCATTGATCACTCAATTTTTTTCAGATACGCTGGTTAAATTAATAGGATCTAACGTCTCACTAGCGCCATCTTGCGAGCGCAAAATCGAAATCTCTGAGTTATACCGTTTATACCCAGTGTTTGATTCCCAATTCCCAAAACACGCAGGTTAAACATAACTGTTGAATGTACAACCTCTTTTGGGAATAACCGGTGATATTATAAAATAAAAAACCAAGTCGTGTGCGTACATAACTCGTTCATTTTATGCGTCCACTCCGAGGACTCACGTTTGCAATCACGTGGGTAAACATAGTGTTGCCAAAGATACCAGCCTTTATTACCATTATGCGTTTTCAATACTAACGCGACCTCTTCTGAAGTTGGTGGACAATGAGGACAATTCTTAATATAATTTACGTACCTAAATGATATAATTTAAGTCTGCATAATTACTTATGATATGTTAAGTCCTGAAATGATGAATTATACTTAAAGTATAAACATTAGTACGTAGTACTTGCATTAAAGTAGTAATATCTATTACTCAAATCATTCTATTACAATTCTATTAATTCATTTCAAAAATTAAAGTACAATATCTACCTAATAACCTAATAACAATATTAAAATTCTTACTGAAACTCTTCAAAAAACTAGTTTTTAAAAGAAAATGCAAATTATTTAGATAATACTTTTACCAGAGGTTGAAACCTCTAATGAAATTAAAGATACGGGTAGGTAAAAACCTTCCCTTCCCTAGGTATTGAAACACGTACATTTCCTTGTTCAAAATACATGAATGTTAAACTGTCAAACACCAAGCGGTCACCGGTGACCGCAACCTATTGTTCTATAATTGTGTCTACAAAACCGGTACTCGACGAGTTAAGGAATAACTGCTAGACACGTATGCTCGTCATAACTGGCGTTGTGTATAGAAACTGTGTGTAGAAAATATTTGTGATGCGCCTCATCACTCTAGGGGAAAACACTTTCCTACTTGACCGCAGAATCCTTCTGGGGTAGTGGTGCAAGTTATAAGCGAAATAACTTTATTTTTCTTTTGTGCCTAAACGTGTGCGAGAAGCAAATTTTGATTTTAAATTATACTCTTCTATTTTTAAACAATTTTCAACACGTCTGTCGATATTTATGTCTTTTTTCCAGATTGTATTGGATGTATTAACAAACAGAAACGTTATCTTCGACGAATACAGGTACAGTGAACAGGTCAACCTATTGTTACTAATAATTATTTTATTCGATTTCAACTCTATTATTTAGGTATAAAGTTGAAAATTACACATTGGACTAGGTTGATGTGCTGGCCACTGTACAAGCTTCCCCCAATGACTTCCAGATCGGCTGGATGGAAGCATTTTACTGTTTTATTTATCCCACTTCCAGTAAACCATTACATTACATTATAAGCGCTTGTAACACTTAACGCCTGTTGTTCCGCCTCCATCTAAATACCCGATAAAATCACGTGATCGCCAATGGTGGCCCATGGTGACCAATGGCCACTATGTCGTGGTGGCCCGAAGGTGTAAGACGTGCGCTTCTCATGTACGAGGGTGCGGGGTCGAAACCTAACAACGGCAAGCACTAATGTGCCTTTTTCTGAGTTATAAGTACTTTCTAAGATTGTTTAGACGCCCCTGACCAACGGTGAAGGAAAAACATCCTGTGGAAACCTGGGCTTATAATTTCCAATTATAAGTTTGAAATCGCCAACCCGCATTGAGCAAGCGTGGTGGTTAACGCTCACAACCTTCTCCGTGTGAGAAGAAGCCTTTGGTCAGCAGTGGCTACTTATAGGTTGTTGATGTGATAATGATGATGTGAAACTCACGTGAAAGATAGTTTTAACTATATCTCTAATTCGTCTAAACATTGTGTAACAAATCCTTAAAAGAAAAAAATCTCCGTTCACCTCTCGCTTGGACCACATACACATTTGCGTAATTCACACGGAAGCTTGGCACGTGTGACTGACATAATGATTAGCGCATTACTTTAACAAACACTGCATTGATATTTGAGTCATTGTAATCGATCTCTGGTGAATGCCATCTGGTAGTTTATTTAAGTACTAGTGACCCTACAGCTTCGCCTGGACAGACTTTAGAAGGTTTCTCTGATGTAGGTCAAAGTAAAGTTGTCAAAGTCAAAATAATTTATTCCAATTAGACCAGGAAGGCGATTTTGAACGTCAACAAAAAAAAAAATTAAAGGTGAAGCTATTTGCTCATCCCAAGGTTTAGATTTCTATGGAGAAGAACGAGCTCTTGCTCGTTCTTCTTAGGTTACTCTTTTTCAATCAGGTTCACAATACAATTCAACAGTTACATAGTTTTGTTGTTTCGATTGTGTGACAACAATGTAACACCAAAAATTTTGTGATCAAGAGTCTGTATTACTCCCTTTAAAAATAAGCCTTGAATTAGCGTAAAATCATATAAAAATTTATTACGCTGTGCCAAAATTTCATACATGAAAGCCTTTTCGGCAGAGCACGAAAGATTGTGATCTTATGTGTCATGAAATTTTTCAGCAGCTTTAATAATCATTTGGATTAAAAGACGTAAAATGATATTGTTGTTAGATTGAAGACAAGTAACTATCTCGGCCTTTTGGCTAAGATCAAAGTGAAGTAACTACAATGTTATAGTTAGTATCCAGTAAATTTATTCATGGTCTTCTATGACCATAATATAATGTAGGTAAATTAAAATTAATAATAGATGACAAATTTTGTTTTTAGTCATGTGCTTCTTTCGCATTTTACAGAGTGTCCAATCCACGTGCTGTTTGTGTTGTTTAGGCAGTGTAGATGAAGATCAAAATATCATTATGACGTGAAAGTTCTATTCGCAAATAACAGATGGAGTTAGTGTAGTGTTATGACATTAATAACTAAGTTATCACGGTTGCTACTCTTAAGTTCAATATATAAAACGGAGGACTAAACATTAATTATACTTAAACATTTATTTTTTAATTTTGAAACTTTATTAATCATTTAAGTCTTAATTTAATATTTTTTTATTGCAGTTATGACCATATATTCTACGTAAATAGTTAAAACCTTGAGTCTACAATTAATCTGGTAACGAAATTTACATTAAATATACAAAGATGTTACATTAAAAATATTGTTTTTGTATTACAAAAACACAATTTAAAAAATGATAGAAAAAAAAAACATTTGACCTTTATTTATTCCGTGTCTCCCAATCTTCATATCCTGTTATTCTCACAAGTCTTTTGGTCTCTTCCCACATATTCCTAGACAACACTGTATCATTCGCAAACCAAGAACTGTAAAACTCATGGCAATCTCTAAAATGTTTTCCACTTTCACCTTCAAACTTTGGGTCTACAGCCAGAAACACAGCCATAGTCGCAACCCTTGGTAGTGGTCTTCCAAACTTCAACAACGCAGCATTCAACACGTTCTTTATTAACACATTGTCAAAATTCCTAAAGAACTCTGACTTTCCTAATCCAGGGTCCATGCTGTACACACTCACTCCACTACCTCTGATCCTCTTCTCCATTTCCACCGTAAACAGTACATCAGCTAACTTGGCATTACAGTAGTACCCAAAATTGGAGTACTGTCCGATATCGTTCCAATGTTCCAGGTCTACAGTTCCTAAGATCAGTGCTAATGAGGAGACGTTGACCACTCGACTTGGTGCTGATATTCTCAAGAGAGGAAACAGCAGGAAGGTCAGGAGAAATGATCCGAAGTAGTTAACTTGCATCATCAGCTGTAAACCGTCTTCTGTCAGTCTGTCATCTAAGCCAATAGCTCCGATATTGTTGATGAGGATATCCAGTCGTGGTTCTGTTCTTAAAGTTGTATCAGCGAAGTTTCTGACTGAGGATAGAGATTCGAAGTCCATTTGTCTGGTGATGACATTTTGGTTTCCGGAATCCTGAATTATGGTATTTCTTGCATCTGCTAGTTTACTTGGGTTTCGGCTCGCGATGATGACTTTGGCGCCTCTCCTGGCTAAGTTCTTCGCTATTTCTAGCCCGGTTCCAGCAGTTGCTCCAGTTACCAGCGCCACTTTCCCATCGAGTCGGACATTGGTCTCACAATCCGTAAAATCATCTTTTACAGACATTATTCGTAATTACGTGTCTACTTCGTCAGGAAGTTTTGTTACTACTGAGCAATACAGGTTGCAAACGTTAATGTAGCGAGGTCGACCAACCTCAAGGTTCTCATAACAGTGGCTAACAATATTATGATACATACGAACAAATTATTAGAAGGAACTTGTTTCTAAGTTTATCAAGATTTGTGACAACAGATCGCGTAACTATTTTGCGTAACAGATAAAAGGTGTGACCGTAATGTTCATTATCATGTAACAATATACTTATACAAATCTCTACATACCTAATATGAAACAAAGCCCCCCCCCGCGTCATCTATCTTCTCTTCTCTATCTCTACATATATAAAACAAAATGCCCCCCGCGTCTGCCTGTCTGTCTGTCTGTCTGTTCGTCTGTTCACGATAAACTTGAAAAGTACGAGTCTGATTGTCATACAATTTTCAACAACAAGGAGAGCGTCCTTGGGGAAGGTTTAGATGTATAATATTAGTTTATATTTTGTGCAAACTGACGATGCTACAGCAATACGAGTACGTGAATTAATATCGTTGTAGTACTTAATGACGTGCCAAACGTCAAATAGTATTTGGATTGGAGTTTGCGTGGAAGTTTCACTAGAGATATGGTAGTGATAAAATCGTAGAAAACTCAAAATATCGATAAAATTATTTAACCCAATACATCTATATTCAAGATTAAATCGATCCAATATTAAAATATTCATACATTTCGATGGCTATTAACCATCTTGCTCATAATGAGTAACTCCTTTTGGCTCATAATTTTGTATATACTACCTACTGTATTACACGTATTATATTGTAATGTACTTAAATTAAATAGAATTTAAAGTAACAACTATTACTACATATATAACTACAAATAAACTAGTGAATAAAAAGAAAATTAAAAAAGACTCTCAGTGGGACTCTCTATCGCTCTGTATGAGCGTCTGTCCCAATGAGAGTCTTGAACTTATTTGAATGAAATTTTGCACAACATTGATTTGCGAACATAGAATCCTCACGAGAAGGGTACTGTATGGGTAAAACCCTTTCGAAATTTATTATTTTTCAAACCTCGAAATTAAATTAAATTCACTATAAGTACCATAAGTACCATAACCTAGGTACTGAATCGATTCTGATAACATTTGTTACAACTTTAAAATGTACCTTGGGAAAGACTAATTCAAAAGCCCAATCTGCCAGAAGATAATATTTTACGCGGACGACGTCGCGGGTAACAGCTAGTAAATAATAATTTTAAACCATGACCTTTATTAAATTCTATGATGTTAATAGTGGAATATAAGGGTTTATTGCCACATTTTGTTACGTTTGTATGCCAGCAACATAACACAGAATGAGGTGACTCAAATCTTTTATTCTATTACTTAAAATTTCTTTTTTGTGTAACTATTGGTTACACAAGAATTAAATTTTCCTAAAACACCCTTTTTCTGTGATTAGTACTTATTAGTCGTCATCATAATACACATCATAGTTCTATGTATGATGTATCTATCGCCGGCTTGATAGCATTGAAGAATATAACATACTTATTAACATTCAGTGGCCGCCCGGTTGGCGCGACGGCTGGGCAACTGCAACTGCAAATCCACTGTGGGTTTGATTCCGCAAGGAGCAACTCTTTGTGTGATCCGGAAATTGTTATTTTGGGTCTTGATGTCATGTGTACGTGAACTTGTTTGTCAGGAGGAGAAAATCCTAGTGTGGGATAACGGTTAAAAAAATAAAAAAGCACCGTCCGTCTATCAGGCCCGAGTTCGCTAAAAATTTTCAGTTCACTTTTCATCATGATCGTCATCATTTTGTTTATTTTAACTTTATCAAACCGACAAAGTTTATTAATCCTTATTTTTATGCCCTGACAAGCATTAATAGTTTATTAATCCTTACTTTTATCCCTTTTTTTGCGGCCGTAAAATCATCCAATGACTTCTCCCGCCTTGGGTGAGGTAAGAGGGTGTGTGAGACTCTTACTGACTAAAAACCACCCCATCCTACTCCTGCTCTTCGCTGCTGGAGCCCTAGTAGCGCGTTAGAACTTTCGCAGCTCCGTAAATATTTAACAGAGACTAGGCAGTATAGCAAACCCTTCGTTTGTCGAAGAGACTCATTATTCCAGCAGTAGGTTTCCATGTTCTTTTGATGCGAATAAAACGTTATATAAATTATTGCGTTTACATATACTATAATAATTAAATTAATTTAAATATTGAATTAATAAATTATTTTGACAACAGCAGTGAAACTGCAGAATTGCAGATGCAAATAAAATATTTAGACAACCGTTCAATTATCACCTGGCAACCTCACATGCTTCTTTATAAAATAACTACCTATTATTTTACCTATTAGTTAAGTGTCATTGGAACGACATTAATTACTGTTGAAGTAGAGACCAGTACCGAAATATTAAACCCTTTGTAATGTAAACCTATACAGATAAATAGTCGCGGAGAACCTAACAGGTAACCGAGGCTCCGGCTCGACGTGCAGGAACGGGGTGGTTTTTAATCAGTAAGAGTTTGACACTCCCTTCCGCCTCACCCAGGCGGGAGCAGTCATTCGATGATTTTCCCCCCTTACAAAATACAGGTAAATATAATTGGAGTGTCTGTTTGTAATATTAAAATAATCAATTTTTACTACATACACCATATGAATGTAACATTCAATACATCTTCCAAAATTATACTTTTTACAAATTATGTCTGTCTGTCTGTTTGTTTGTATTGGCTAATCTCTGAAATGGGTGGACCGATTTTGACGGGACTTTTATTGGCAGTTAGCTAGTGTACTAAGAAGTAACATAGGCTACTTTATTTTGAGGGTTCAGCTAGTAATAAATATAATTCGTTAGATTACAAGCCTTCAGACTGGGTCTACTTAAACGAAGGCTTCGAGGTCTCTTCCTTCCTACCGTAGACGTGGCACTTTGAGGCGGCAGCCTTCGCGTCTCGTGTCCACTCCATTGTATGGGCGGGTGCGGACTGCGGGTAGTACCTAATAGTTCCACGTGCGCCACTCGAGGAAGGGAAGCAGCCTCCAAGGGCCGCTACGGACCTACCGTAAGTACAGCGGTGAGTCAAGGCTTGCCGGGTGTGGTGAATTCACTAGGCGACCTCGGCCACGACCACAGGAAGAGGAGCAAAACCGCGGCGATTATAGTATTAGCCAGTAAGCGCTAGGCACACCGCCTCATCGCGACCACGACGAAGGAAGCCTATGAGGATTTTCATTTCTTCATTATTGGTTGGCTCTGAACTGCAGCGTCTGATAGTCGTGTCTTGGTTTTGTTTTTTTTTATTTTAGTACGTTCTGTTATTTGTATAATGTGTCAGGTATGTCTTTACATTATTCTCACATGTGTGTACAATATTGGAATATGTATCAGAGCAGTGTAAAACAGACTTTTTTTAAAAGAGTAACGAATGGAGTTTCTTGCTCATTCTTCTCCACTCAAATCGACATTTTGGAACGAGCGCCTAGCTTCACTGACGGACAGACTAACAGACTGTTATTTATTTCATATTTGTTGACGTTTCAAAAGTACCAAATTATGGTTTAATTGAAATAAATGCTTTTGAGTTTGAGTTTGAGTCTACATGTTGTTTTTTAATATCACATCTAGATCCAAGGACACACAGGATTGTGTTATTGAGACGTATCTAACGATATTTATTTTTGTCTAAAACAGTTGGGTGCTTTAGAAGAAACGAAGTAATAAAGTATACAAGATACGCGCGAAAAAGATACAATTCCCACAGGCTGGTTATAAAAAAAAGTCATCAGAGCACGAACCCAAGTTTGACTTATTTACAGCTCTTACAATACAAAAAGAATTTAACTAGACAGTAAACACGAAAAATTCATCTGATACAATATTTGTATTTAACCAGTCTTTATAATTATAGGTATTTGTGGGGTCTATAAATACCAATTGGAACACTTTTTGTGAATCAGATGGTATTGTGACTTCCGATTTTTGAGAGATATGTCGCTTGTTCAATTTCTTCTACTTTTCTTATGTGTAGGCATTAGTTACGGAGATGTCTATGACTACTTTACGGGAGACCTTGCATCTGCAGAGCAATTAAGCTTCTATGAAGCAGAAGGAGTAACTGAGTAAGTCATGTTTTTAGTGTTTTTCTATATAATGTTCAACCATTTTACGCTAGTGTAAAGCTATAATTATGTCGTGTAAGGGAGTATAAATCCAAACTACAGGCATAACTAAAGACCGGAGCTACGGACAAACTAACAGCTTACCACTTACTTTCAGTCATAAGAGATTGTCACTTTCTTTCAGCTCACCCAAGGAGGGAGAAGTCATTGAATGACTTTCTCCTCTTTAAAACGCATACTTAAAACAAATAGTGTGCTGCTTTTTAAAAAGACACTTGTGTTCGCAGTTCTGCGAATGGCCAGCAAGGATAGCTCAGCGCCCGACTAGTCCCAGTTATGAGCGTACTCCGGCACGCAGCATTGCGCGCGCGCTACAAAGAGCCATCAAACCATCACATATGGGGGTAAAAGGGCCGCTGTTCGACCAAGGTTGCAGGATAAGCGAATTGATATTCCGCAGTCCGCATTAAGTACTGCCGTAGATATTTTTATGACATCCAGGAGTGACAGTCAGACATTACAAAATTGCCAGCCTGTCTTAAATATAATAAACATAAATAATGTTATTGCAACACTTGTACTGGTAACATCCAAGCTTGCTCTGTAAATGAACCAAGGAGAGTTGATGGATCATGTATCAACCTGAAGAAGCCTGCAAAGGGAACTTACTTCACACCTATGACAAGAGTACTGCCTGCTCATTATCATAATGGTTAGTATTCTATTATATTAAAACTAAAAATTAGGGATGTTACTGAATTCTCCGGCCAGGACAAGTGATACCTAGGTTTCGGGCGGGGCACTGACTAAGGGCTCGTACACAAAAGTGCGATGCGATGCGAATTCGCAACGCAAAAAATTACGACACGAATTGCTGCGATGCGATTTCGTGCGACAGGGCAAGGCATTTCGAGCGTACGAGCCCTAATAGTTGTAAATTGAGAATTTCTATCTGTGTTTAATAGCACATAAATATTACTAGTGCGATTTAGCACTTGGCATATCATCATCATTATTACCTTTATTAATATTATGGTTGTCCATGTGGGTCGCAAAATTTACTGTTATCCTATAAAATTTTACCTATGTAAGTAAAATATAATAAAGAATTATAATGTATGTTCATTGATTTTAGGTTACTTCGCAAGACTCGCACAATCTGGTGATGAACTGCCTTTGGCTAGAACCGTCCGTCTCCACCTGCTTAAGGGAGAGAAAGAAAAATCTTCCAGTCCAGATTTCAATAATCTTTTGTTGGGCTTCGCACCATTCACATTCAATGATATTGGATCATCTCACGATGTTGGTAAGGGTTTTTCTTCAGACCATAAAGTTACTGTCTTCCAATTACTTGCATACTTGTTAGTATCACGCGGTTTCACCCACTCTGCTCGGCTCCTATTGATCGTAGCGTTATGGTTTATAGCCTTCCTCGATAAATGGACTATCCAATACAAAAGTAATTATTCAATAAAAACTGTTTTTTTTGGCAACGAATAAAATAAAAGTTGGTTTGAAAAGTCACGTACCATTATATTCAGGTATTTTCCAATTTCAATTTTGTTAGCATGGATTTCAATGTGTGGAAGTTTTGTATGTGTTTGGAATTAGGCTCACAAATGAGTTTATTACTTATTATCATCATCAACAGCCTATAAATGCCCATCCACGAGCAAAGCTTCTTCTCACACGGAGAAGGTTTGAGCATTAATCACCACGCTTGCTCAATGCGGGTTGGCGATTACAAACTAATAATTAGAACTTATAAGCCCAGGTTTCCTCACGATGTTTTTGTTCACCGCTTGTCAGTGGTGTCTAGATGATCTTAGAAAGAACATATAATTCGGAAAAGTCACATAGGTACTTGCCGTTGGTAGCTTTCGAACCTGCACCCTCATGCATGAAAAGCAGTGTTAAACCTCCGTGCCACCACGACATTGTCGTACTCAGAGTAAAATTATCATTTTTATTTGTTTAATATTTTTAGAAAACGCGTTGCTTTCAACCACATACTGCTGTGAGGAAGAACACTGGAATGACTACGTATGTACGCCTAATCTGTTGACTGCTGACGACCCTGTGTACCAGTCCACAGGCATCAACTGTATGAATAGCACCCGACCTCTTACTTTTCAGGACTACAAGTGTACTAGGGAAGCTGTACCAGCTCCTGTAAGTAAAATAAATATTACTTATTAAAATCACGAATTATTACTGACTTTAGACCCCGTTCATTATATAGTTTCTATTTAACAGCAATAAATACTGCAGCTGGCGCCATATGTTGCTATTGGAATTCAGTAAGGCGCAGGCGCAGACGTGTAATCCTTCACTTTCTAAGTGAAGAGTTATTATTTCGCGAGCCACTTTTACAGCCCAATCCGCTGCTGGTGCCGCTGCTGACGATCGCAACGCCTAGACTCATTGTCCACGTAACTGCAGGACATGCGCATAATTTCATTAATTGAATATTGCATGAAAAATGCTTGTGTCGCGACACATGTCAAATAACAGTTCAAACAAATCAACGGATGACATCACAAAATTCCTACATCGCACAAGTGAAGTTTACATACGATTTAACACGGATAGAAAATCCCAACGAACAACTGTTGGGCAGAAAGCCCGCCAGGCACGATCACCTCGCCTGGTCGGAAGATCCTCCTTTTCCGATCTCAGGGAACTATACTCTCTGTTCCCTAAACTTGCAACTAGAAAACATCAAAACTGTATCCACAGAGCGGCATCGTTGCGTGTGTACCTAGTACTCATTCAAATACGCCCTGCTGATTATCATTTGTAGGATACATGCATTCATGGAGACGCAGTTGACACGTCGTCGTAGACACTAGCCTTAATAGTACAACTTTTTTGAAGTATTTTACAAGTTATCAACTGAAGACAAAGTAGTTATTAAATTTATAGCTGCCGTGGTGATTGTACACATAGGTACGGGCGTTACCCTATAGATTTCACAGTCTATCTTTATTTGTTGACAGCTGAAAAAAGCGACTACCTGCTACGATTTATCACAAGTATACAATGTATATAATGAGGGTGACCAAGTGATCAGATCTTTTGTCAAAGGACAATTGACAGTGGAAGAAGATGATGGCCACGTTTACCCACCAAGCAGTCCAAATGCTTTCTGTCCATTCAACTCAGGCAACGAAACTAGATGTTTTAAAAACTGTAAGTAAGTTTTATAACAAAGGTTAATGTTTATTTCGTTTGTTTATGAAAGCAACTTGTAAGTTATGTAAAACTGAAATACGTACTTTACGACCATACACATTCTGTGATTTCATTGCTTTATTTGTCAAATAATAAGTGGAAATAAATAATTTGATTTCGATTTTTTGCAGAATTCAACAGTTTGTTGTCAGTCGTACTTTACGAGATCTGGTTTGTGCGTCACCACAACTACTTGGCCAGCAAGCTAGCTGAACTCAACCCATGCTGGAGTGACGAGAAATTATTTAATGTTGCTAGAAACATGAACATTGCTTATTACCAACAAGTGTTGTTGTACGAATGGTTATCAGCACTAGAAGGTAGACTTTCAAAACAACATAACATAACATTTATTGAAATACCCTAATTTTATACAAAATAATTATGTACTAAGACTAACCAACCACCCAGGTCGCAACAATCTCATTGAATTTATTTGATGAAAAATGTGTACTAATATTGAATGCATTAAATAATCAGGTCGCAGTAATCTCATTAAGGCTGGTATTATAAACAAATACGACGGATTCAGAGACTTGTACGATGAGGACGAGGATCCTGAAGTGACATTGGAATACGCCTTCGCCTTCCGTTGGTTCCATTTGATGCAGCCCACTGTTGCTAAGTATATAAAAGTTGTGTTAATATAGAAAGTGAAAACTTATAAATTATGTATATATGTATGTATGTAGGCATATTGTACTCATGTGTAGGTATACATTATAATTAAATTTATTTATGTATGTATATCTCCGAAATATATTAGTTTATCTTTCATTGTTTAATAAAATCACTGCTTGCCTCTTGCACCTACCATTTACTCTTCTCTGCATCACCCAAAGGTCAGACTGGTAGAAAATGCCTGCGGCATTAAGTCCACCTTTTTGTACATTTTGTGCATGAAGCATTTTAAATAAATAAATAAAAAAATTACATACAACCTAATTCAATCTGCAAACCGTTTGTGAACCGTGCGCAAACAAAAATTCAATATTTTGAAAAAAAAAAACGGTGCAAGCAAACTATAGAGGTGCGTCTTCATGATGATATTAGCAGCATTATCTTTTTCTCTTTCATGATTTTTTATATTTTATAGTTTTTTTTAAAGGGGGAAAATCATCGAATGACTGCTCCCGCCTGGGTGAGGCGGGAGGGAGTGTCAGACTCTTACTGACTAAAAAACCACCCCGTTCCTTTTCCTGCACGTCGAGCCGGAGCCCCGGTTACCCGTTAGGTTCTCCGCGACATGTTTTATAGACTAGCGAGGTATTTCAATCAGGTTTATCTCCCTCATAATATATTTTTTTTCATTCTTTTCTTTATTTTTAGGTTCTATGATCGACATGGCAACTTTATAGAGGACTATTCACTATTGAGTACTACATTCCATACCGGATTTATAACAGATGGTGACAATATTGAGTACCTTACCCAGAGTATGATCAGAGATGGATGCCGTGCTTATGACAGCACCGTTGCTTATGATGTAAGTTGCCTAGCCACTACCCTAATTGTCGGAGCCGCAGAACACTAATCGGTTGCTGTGACTCCGGTTCGAAGAGCAGAAGTAGGAACAGTATAGGTTTTAGTCAGTAACAGTCTTACACTCCCACTCGCCTCAAGGCAGGAGGTAATTATTGGATGTTTTTCCTGCCTTAAAAAAAGTATTCTAATTGTGTGGACTTAATAATGAACTAAAATCACGTAGAACAATCTGTAACACAATACTATCACGATGGTTATTACAATTTTTTTTCTGTAGTTAGTCAATGACCCTATACCCGGTATGCAAGAGAGGCTTGATGTAGCCGCTGGAGATTTGAACAAATGTCGCAATCTCGGCGTGGCTCCTTACGTTGACTATATCAAGCACTTCACAGACATCGATATCAAATCCTTTGACGATTTATCTGCTTTCATACCAGTTGATGTAAGTATTACAACTTAGTTGAATCTAGAGCTTGTATTTTAAATACTGTGGTCATGTTTTGTCCTTCGTTAATCAAATTCTGCCACTTTGAACCTGAACTGAATAACAATGTTAAAACATTTTTTTTTAACATATTTACAACAATGTGTGCTACTTTGAGTTAGTCATAATACAATTATGAATATGGGTACCATATATTTATTTCAGAAAATTAAACTATTAAAATACTTGTATGGAGATGTGAAAGACATAGACTTAATAGTTGGCCTCTGGATAGAAAAGACAATGGAAGGTGGTCACATTCCTCCTACTTTTGCCAACATCATCAATGATAATGTGATGAGGGCTTTGAAGAGTGACAGACATTGGTACGAGAGACCAAACAGGCCTGATGCCTTTACAGAGGGTAAGCCACTCCTCTGCGTCCATTGTCTTGCATTGTTTTTGATATGATAATTCCACTTGAATTTATTTAAAACCCCCATTTACAAAACATTAAATTAATAAGCACTTTGATTATTACAGCTCAACTTAAGGAGATCAGGAAAGCTTCAATAGCTCGTTTACTGTGCGATGTAGGTGATGGCATCTCCGAAGTGCCCAGAAACGCCATCTACAACATTTCTCCTGAGTAAGATTTTTTGCAGATAATTATCCTAACAAGGAAAAATATGTGTACGTAATGGTATAACCACAATGGTGTAATGCCAACTTTATAGCGGACTCAAAAAAGGAGGTTCTCAGTTGACTTTTATGTATGTATGACTGTTTGTGCGCGATAATCTCCTGATTAGCTCAACCGATTCTGACTATTTTAAAAGAGTAACAATGGAGTTTCTTGCTCGTTCTTCTATTCGAAACTACACTTTGGAACAGACGGACGGACAATTCAATTTTTGACGTTTCAAAAGTGTCTAATTAAGGATTAATTGAAATAAATGATTTGATTTGATTTTGATTTTGAATTTGATGCGGGTTTCAGAAAAGTTTGTTACACTTAGGAGAAGGTACTGATGATCTATGAGTATATTAATTAAACGACTGCAAAAAGAGACCCGTTGAAGTCGGTTTTTCTAAAACGTAGTTTATAAAGTCAAAGTCAAAGTCAAATTCAAAGTCAACGTCAAAGTTAATATTAAAGTCAAAGTCAAAGTCAAAATCATTTATTTCAATTAGGCAAGAACGGAACTTCTGAACGTCAACAAAAAAAAATTAAACGTGAAGCTATTTGCTCATTTCAAGGTGTAGATTCCTATGGAGAAGAACGAGCAAGAAACTCCATAGGTTACTCTTTTTCAATCAGATTCACAATACAATTTACTAGTTAGATAGTTTTGCTGTTTGGATTGTGCGAGAACAATGTAACACCAAAATCCAATCAAAAGTAATCAAAAAATAAAATAACCTTAAGGACAATAATACAGTCTGGAGCTGACCAACAGTCCCAGTTGACGGCGCCCGTTCACGAACATGACACGTACACCAGCACCGCCCAACTCAACCATATTGTAGGGAATCGAGCGATCCACTGCACGCGCCACCGTCAATGAGACCTTTGAGTGAGCATGACAACTCCAAGCTGACACAAATGAATTCTACTAATCTAATTTAATATTAAGTTAATTACAGGGCTCTCACATTTACACTAACATAAAAAGAATGATTATCAGTTATTTTATGAGTCTCCGAAGTACCTAATCCTGTTCCCATAGGTATAACGGGCACAATACTTGAACGTGCTTATTACGTAAAAAGAGCTAAATAATACTTTGGTTTTATAATAACTACCTCGAGATATTATACCATACTAAATTAACTAAAATCGCTGGTGACTCACGTTAATATAGGTACTGAGAAAAGCTCTCCTAGTTTCGAACAGAGGTGTGCTTCCTCTTTCCTCATGAGCAGCGTGCGCGGTCGTGGAACTTTTTTCAGTATATTCACATGAGTAACGCGCAATTTTAGTAAAAATACTTTGTCGAACCCGAGACCCATTGCTCGGCAGTCGCAGCATTTCATTGGTTTATTGTTTTGTTTTGTTTCAGGAATCCATTGGTGAGTTGTGGCCAAATTATGGGCATTGATTTTAGCGCCTGGAAAGACAACACTTGTAAAAGCAGTTAACAAAAAATTGGTTTCCAGACTATAGTGACATCAGAGATCAGAGATCAGATAAATACAAGGATTTTTGGTTTCGTATCTTTTTTATTCCACGTTTTTTCTAACTTTCGTTGTGACACTTACTACCAATTTCAATAAAAAAATGTACAAGACAATTCCTTAGTTTTGATTTTAGTCTTATTCTTTAATGAAGGTAGGGGAACGACAAACTGTAATAAAATACGTACAAACGTAGTAGAAGATTTTCACAATGAACTAACAATTTCCTCTCAGTCGATAATTTGTGAAATACTTGAGAGAGTTGAAGAAGCGTTGTGCGTTGGCCTCGGCTTCAAAAACTCATGTAAATTATAGTTAGCATAATTTTTAGATATAAGGAAAAAAAACAAATGTACCTACAACTTAAAATACACTAAAAATAAATAGAAAAAATAAGTTAGCATAATATTTTGAAGAAAAGAAATTGATAGTTGATTATAAATATGATTTAATCGAGCGCCTTCAGAATTCTAGTAGCAAAGAAAAATACATTACGGGATTACCATATACTGCTATTGGAATTTAGCAAGGCACGATGAGCCTGTGTGAGTTTAGTGGATACGTAATGCTGAGCTAATGACACCGGCGTACCACCAACTAAGCCGGTTTTTATTTAAAATCATAGGATGCCATTGAAATATTTTGTAAACTTTCGAAGGCTTTTGAAAGCATTTAACAAACGAGGACGAGATAATATTGCTGAAACTGGAAAACTACGGCACTCGGGGGTATCTCTAAATCTATTGAAGTCCTACTTTCAGGATAGCCATCTTAAAATACAAGTAAACAAAAACAGACTTACGGTATGCTAACATTATGGGCGCACCGCAGGGCTTAAGATTAGGTCCATTCCTATTTTCAAAGCTTAAATAAAGTACATGGTATGGTACATCGATGTACCATACCAGTATATCGAATCAAAATAAGAGTATTAAGTATTTAAAAAACATGTAACTGAAAAGTCATTTTATTATTGATTTTTTTAAGGGGGAAAATCATCGAATGGCTTCTCCCGCCTGGGTGAAGCGGGTGGGAGTGTCTGACTCTTACTAACTAAAAACCACCCCGTTCCTACTCCTGCCCTTCGAGTCGGAGCCGCGGCAATCCATTAAGTCCTCCGCGCGTCTTTATCGGCTTGTTTATTGATTAGTGTTACAATTGTATTGCATTTTATTATTTTTGGTCATCATGGAAACATTAAAACAAAACCGAGTACTTATGGAATATGAGCAGTGCAACGCGGCACAAGCAGCTCGCAATATCAGCGAAACAGATACAAAACAGAATTACAGAAACAAAACTTTTTATCCCGAAACAGTATACATATATATACATGAAAAAACAAACTTAATTGTGCGGCTCAATACCTAGACACAGTTACTGTGCCAAACGCAAATATAAGTTTGTCGAATGTTAGTTGCCCACATTAGACTTTACGCTGTAACTGTAGGGCCGATGGTTGAAATTAGCTTAACTCGTCGAGTACCGGTTTTGTAGACACAATTATAGAACAATAGGTTGCGGTCACCGGTGACCGCTTGGTGTTTGACAGTTTAAGCTGATATTATGAATATGAAAATATGTGAGTTTGTGTGTGTGTTTGTTACTCAGTCACATCAAAACGACTGAAGGGACCGGGATGGAATTTGGAACAGAGGTGGATTAGGCCTGGAGTAACACATAGGCTACTACTTTTAATCTCTGGTAACGGAGGCAAAGCCACTGGCAGAAGCTAGTATAAAATAATTAATTACAAATAACCTGCAGATATGTGGACACATCTATATATCTTGTGCATACTTAGAAACCTGTAGAAATTTAATACGTACGAGTAAGGTGTGCGTACTCAGAATATACTGCATACTTATTTTTTATTAAGTCGGAGGCACACGAGCGGATGGGTCACCTGATGGTAAGCAATAATTGCCACCTAGAAACACCCGCAACACCAGAAGAGTGACTAACCTACTAAGAAGGATAAATAAATAAATAACATGAATATTGCTTCATTGGCATCTGTGACCTTGTGTATATTTGCTTCGTATTGCTATTGAAATAGGTAACGGATAATGCGCCAATATTGTCAATTTTGTGTTCCAAATTTTAGAGATCAGTAATATGTACCTACCTTCATAAAACTGCTTAGAAAACTACAAGATGCCATTATTTTTAATTCCCATTGTAACGTCATGAGTATCATTTTCGAGGGACTTACAACAGATTTTGCTAAATTACTGTATTGTGTAAAAATTAAACATTAATATGACAAGAGGACGACCTTAAGTATAAAATACCCGTCGATATTAAAAAAACAAATATAACTAACGAGACAGTAAACAAACAATTCACATCTGAGGCAATATTTGTAAATTACCAATTAATTTCCATATAAATTGTGTAGTTAATTAAAATGTTCAATATGAATACTTTTTGTAATGTAAGCGGTATTGTCTCCTCCGATTTCGGGATAAGATGTCGCTTGCTCATTTCGCTATAGTTTTCTTGTGTATAGGCTTTAGCTATGGAGACGTCTACGACTATTATACAGGTGACCTTGTATCTGCAGAACGATTGAGTTTCTATAAAGAAGAAGGTGTAACTGAGTAAGTGAAAATTATTTCCTACTGTAGTGGTCAACCACTTAACGCTAGAATAAACTTGATAAAACAAATTCCAGGCAAAAATAAAGATATTGAAGTGTGGGAGAGTGAGAGAGCCATCATTCGGCTGGCTCGACCGGTGTGATAGTACTACCTCAAAGAAGACCGACGTGAAACAACTCAAATTCCGATAACACACTTGTAACGCCTCTTGTGTTCCAAGTGGCCATGAGCTGCGCCGATTGCTTACCAACAGACGATTGGTCTGCTAGTGTAGGCTTAATTCATAAAAAAATACCTCATAAAAAATAGTTTTTTCCTGACTGTTTTTCCCAATCACTTTCTCTTTGAACAAGATTTTTGGTATCAAGTTCTGAAAGTTCCTTGGTCACCTGACTTACCATATGTACCTTCTGTAAATCTTGTCTATTGACACATTAAATCTTCATAAATCCTCTATTGAACATGCTAAATTTCCAGACTCCGGTGCATATTCGTTTAATAAGAAATTTATCATTATTTCAAATACAAACGTAAATAATATCATTGCAGCACTTGTACTGTCGACCTTCAACCTTGCTCTGCCGATGAACCAAGGAGAGTTGACGGATCATGTGTAAGTCTGAAAAACCCTGCAAAGGGAACTTATTTTTCACCCATGGAAAGAGTACTGCCTGCAAATTATCATAACGGTTAGTATTTTATAACATGCATCGTTAACACTTAATTACACAATTTCTAAGCTGTCAATTTCTACTGAAACCTTTTTGGACACCGCATAAGAAGTTCTCCAAGTTATAAAAAGGGAGAATCATTCGACCAGGTAAATTGATCATGCCTAATTGTCTAATGATCATAATATCACGCCTTTTATCCCCGAAGGGGCAGGCAGAGGTGCACACAGAAGTAACACCCACTTTGCACTATTTATGTTATGAATCCCATGTAATAGGGGGTGAACCTATTGCCATATACCGGGCACATTTCCAGACTCCGTGCTACTACTGAGAATTTTTTAAGAACCCAGTAATACTTTGCCCTACCCGGGAATCGACCCCGAGACCCCTTGACCGGCAGTCGCACTTGCGACAACTCGGCCACCGAGGTAGGCGGAAATATGATCAATATTTGAATATAGGATGACAATTTTTTTTTTTTTAAGGGGGGAAAATCATCGAATGACTGCCCCCGCCTGGGTGAGGCGGGAGGGAGTGTCAGACTCTTACTGACTAAAAACCACCCCGTTCCTTCTCCTGCACGTCGAGCCGGAGCCCCGGTTACCCGTTAGGTTCTCATAGGATGACAATAAGCTATCTGCGCGATATAGAACTCTTGACTTCATGTGTTGGTTCTTATTGACAAATCTCGCTAAAAAAACGACTTATAGTAATAATCATTTTAATTCTATTACTTTCAGGTTCCTTCTCAAGACTTGCACAATCTGGTGCTGAACTGCCTCTGGCTAGAACTGTCCGTCTCAACGTTCTTAAAGAGGGAAAATCACCCAATTTGATTTTCAATCATCACTTGACGGGCTTCGGAATATTCTCATTCAGTGATGTTGGATCAGTTCACAATATTGGTAAGCAGACCTTATTTTCAAGTCAAGATGATTAGGTATAAACACCTCTTTTTTAATTTGTTCGTTATTTTTAGAAAACATGTTACTTAGGACCACATTCTGCTGTGAGGAAGAACATTGGAATGACTACGTATGCACGCCGAACCTATTGACTGCTGATGACCCTGTGCACAAGTTCTCAGGCATCAAATGCATGAACAGCACCAGACCTCTCACTTACCGGGACTACAAGTGCACTAACGACGCCGAATCTGCACATGTAAGTACATTAAGGGAAACTTAACAAACTGGCGATTTGCCCCTGATTGTAGATTCAATTCTATTTAATAGACAATGTGATTGAAGAGGAAGGTTAATATGTGTAACAACTCCGAATTTAATATGTATATACGGAGAATAGATTATGGAATTAAATATAACGTATTTAATTATTTATATCCTCACCTGCCTTTCTTATGCTGTAACATTCGACTCAAACATTGAATTGTTGACAGTTGAAAAAGGCCACTTCGCCCTTCGATTTATCCCAAATATACAATGCATACAACAAAGGTGACCAAGTGATCAGATCTTTTGTCAAAGGACAATTGACAGTAGAAGAAGGTGATGGCCACATTTACCCACCAAGCAGCCCAGAAGCACTTTGTCCACTCAATTCAGGCAATGAAACCAGATGTTTCAAAAACTGTAAGTCAATTATAACAAATTACAGCTTTCATACTTACTAATTGAAATACATAAATGATTTATCTTTGACTTTTCTGCAGACATTAACAATTTGACGCCAATCACCCTTTACGTGATCTGGTTCGTGCGTCACCACAACTACTTGGCCAGCAAGCTAGCTGAACTCAACCCATGCTGGAGTGACGAGAAATTATTTAATGTTGCTAGAAACATGAACATTGCCTATTACCAACAAGTGTTGTTGTACGAATGGTTGTCAGCACTAGAAGGTAGACTTCTAAAACATGGTACTTACATACATTTATTTGATGTAAAATGTGTACTAATATTGAATGTATTAAATAATCAGGTCGCAGTAATCTCATTAAGGCTGGTATTATAAACAAATACGACGGATTCAGAGACTTGTACGATGAGGACGAGGATCCTGAAGTGACTTTGGAATTTACTTTCTGCTTGCGTTGGTTCCATTTGATGCAGTCTACTACTGCTAAGTATGTAAAGGTTCATAATTTTAATATTTTAAATGGGAACAGCAGATTGTTCTGACTAAACTTACTTATGATCATTTGGTTACTCCAAACCATGGCCTCAAAGATCTAAGATCTTATACTTATATAAGATACTTGTATTATATCTTAATATAAGGTCTTCATTTCACTTAACCCTTCTGGTATTGTGGGTGTCAATTGTTCACCACGAGAAGATCCATTTGCTCGCAATTCTATTTCATAAACAGGTAATATTTATCTCTTTTAATTTAATTCTAGGTTCTACGACAGATATGGTAATTATATCAAGGATTACCCACTACTGAAGACTACATTCCGTACTGGATTCCTTGGACAAGGTGACAATATTGAGTACTTTACCCAGAATATGATGAGAGATGGATGCCGTGCTTATGACAGCTCCATTGAACATGACGTAAGTTAATCATTACGTTACGTTTACGTAGAGGTTCAAGATGCGAAATGCTACTCATGAATATGAGCCTCTAGCATGGCTTGAAACTAGTCAAGTTTCTCGTCAAATAATTACGTGAGTAAGCCGAAAACATAATAATTTATTTGGTATGACTCACGAAAGTTATAATATAAATGACGTAAGTTTTTCCTTTTCAACACGCTTTTATTAGATCGAACATGTAACGAAGTAATGAATCAAATCTAAGAATCTTATCAATTATGTGTAGATGAGATGACTATACAAAATTATGGTACCATCTAGCTGGTTTGATGAAGAAATCTACTAAACATAACGATTTTGGGTCCATTATAGATGTGCATTTTTCCCGAATCCTAATGATGAGGACATATGATTAAAGCTTGGTTTTATTTTGACGTGACAACGTCTTAAATTAGGTTGCGGCTGGGAGTCACTTATGAAAAAGTGTAACGCTCGGTAACGTTACGATGAGTCACCGAACGAGAGAGAGGCCCGCCGAATGCCTTGCGTCTCTCTCCCACTCAACTATGATCGGTCTGCCGCGCGCGCAGCACTAGTTCATTCAGTTCCTTGTTCCTATTGTGCAATTTAATTATATTCATATCAATAAATATTCTACCGAGAAAAAGACGTTGTCACGTAAAATCTTCGCCCGTAAAAACGACTTTACAGGCAACCATTTTAACTATTATAATATATGTCTTTTTACACTTCCCTATACAAGACAGTTGACTTAACAGTTAACAACTTGCAAGGGTGTGTAATAATTACGTTATACCTCATACAGTTTAAACTTTCTTCAATTTTTATCATCTTCTTGACTACATTTCTTTGAACCATGCGTGGTGATTAATGCTTATTACATCTCCATGCAAGAAAAGGCCTTTGTCCAGCAGTAGGCTGTCCTACAGCCTGTAGCTGTTTATAGGCTGATATATTGATGTTTGGCTTTTCGCTGATCAGGTATTACAGTAACACTTTTTTTCTAGTTTGCCAATGACGCCTTACCTGGTGTGCAAAGGAGCCTTGACGTCGCAGCTGGAGATATAAATAAAGGTCGCAATCTTGGAGTGGCTCCTTACGTCGACTATGTGAAACACTTCACAGGCATTGAAATCAATTGCTTCGAAGATTTGGCTGCATTCATACCAGTAGCTGTGAGTATTTAAATTTTATCACCGTAATTTCTGGACCATTTCAATAACTGATTACTAATTTAACTAAAAATCGCGGGTTACTCTCCTGAATATACTGAGAAAAGCTCTACTAGTTTCGAACCACAGAGGGGTTCTTCCTCATGAGCAGCGTGCGCGGTCGCGGCGACGTCGCGCAGCTCACTAGCTGGCGTCGGCGCTCGCCTCGATGTTGTTACTAATTACTACTGATTACTAATTATCGTCATTTCAACCAACATCATATGCTACTTAAAGACCATCTTCAGGACGTATTTGTATAGTTATCGCTCTATTGTTATTTCAGAAAATAGAAGTATTGAAAAGTTTGTTCGGAGATGTGAAAGACATAGACTTAATAGTTGGTCTCTGGGTAGAGGAGCCGATGAAAGGGGGTCACATTCCTCTCACCTTTGCCAGTATCATTAATGATAATATGAAGAGGTCTTTGAAGGGTGACAGACATTGGTACGAGAGACCAAACAGGCCTGATGCCTTTACTCGGGGTAAGTTTACGTGTGTTTGATGGTACTGAAGGCCAGCAGGTTCAATTTATCACCCAATCTCCATTTCCCAAATTACCCTCAAACATACAAAAGGTTGGCAATACACTTGTAAATACTCTTGTCTTGGATAACATCCATTGGCAGTGGTTCGCTGGATGCTACCGTCAGGTCCATCTATTATAATTCTATAAAATGTGCTTCACAGCCATGGAATAACAATTTCAAGTTTTTTGTTATATTTAACTAACGCCCGAATATTGAAATGATCCTTCATTTTAAGTCACACTAAAATATCATGCTATCTCTGTTATTTTATCAAGAATTTGTAGAGATAGTACTATTCTTGAGAGCGTTTTAGAATGAGTGGCGTTTGAGTATTTTAGCCAAGATTGAATTGAAAAATAAAAATGAAAAAGATAATTTATAACTCATTTTCTTTCGGTTATTTGTTACAGCTCAACTTAAGGAGATCAGGAAAGCTTCAATAGCTCGTTTACTGTGCGATGTAGGTGATGGCATCTCCGAAGTGCCTAGAAACGCCATCTACAACATTTCTCCCAAGTAAGATTTGGAGGATTATTAACTAAGATAATCACTTCAATCAAGGACGTTGAAACAAAGGCGGACACAATCTTTTGAAACAACGACTGTAGCGCCTGGCTACTATAGACTTATACGTTGACACGAAGGACCTCTGTCGCGTGACATGGCCCGTCATTACACTTCATACATTACGGTGTTACAAGTAGATACACGCACACATAAAGACACCACTGACATTTTGGTACTTCAATCAATTCTAAGTGACGTTACGTACACCTTTCTTTTAACGTCCTTGACCTCAATAATAAATTTGTTGGCATGGTCAAGAACAAACAATTTTCAGTCCTTCTAATTCTTTTAATTTTTGTTTCAGGAACCCACTGGTGAGTTGTGACAAAATTAAAGGCATTAACTTCAGTGCCTGGGCCGACAACACTTGTAAGAGCAGTTAAATAAGGTAGCTTTCAAATGGTCAGATAAATTCAATATTTTTTTGTTTTATTGTTGTGGTTTTGTTACTTACACTTATTTAGTTATTTTTTATCTTTTCAATAAAGTTGCTATTCAAGACATTTACTTCGTTTTTTTTTTGTATTATGACCTTTTAAGTAATAGTCTGAAAATCCATTCGACTTCGCAGGGTATGTGTGTTGTCAACAAATTTATTTATAGCTGGCTTCTGCCCGCGGCTACGCCCGCGCTCCCGTGGGTTAAAAAGCCTATGTGTTATTCCAGATACTACATCTATCCCTGTTCCAAACTCCAACCCGATCTCTTTAGCATGATTACCTAACAAACATACTCATGAACTCACAAATTTTCGCATTTATATTATTTCTAGTAAGATTACGGAAGAATAAGAACTATTGTTGTAAAGTTTCAATCAAGTAGGTAGTCTAGGGATATTAATTTATTATTATCAAAGCAAAAACAAGTAAATGATGATGATTACAAACCGAAAATAACACTATAGTATACAAACATTAATGGGACAAAATAAGGCTTTAATTTTATGATTTCCTGGTACTAATGTGATGTAAAATTGTAAATTATGCTCAATTACTTCTATTCTGTGTTTTATAGTTATTTAACCAATCTATATAATGTTCCCTTTTTACTAGATACTAGGACAGACTTCATTTCAGTTGGATCAAAATACATATTTCATCCATATAACTCACAGTACAAGGACCCGGAACAATATAGAGGATTATAATCTATACACAAAGCTACATAATGTATGTCTCATAAGGGAGTTGAACTGGCGTCGTTCTCCCAAACACTGTACTGGCCATGAAACAAATTAAAATTCAACAGGCGTTTGATTACGATTATTAAAATATTTATGTCACTAAATACAATACTGACTGCCCAGAATGTTTGGTCGAACTGCTAATGTTCTATCTGGGTACTTATATAATAGATAATACATTTTTAAATTCACCACATTCACTTAAACACCCTTATACACTGTCATTGACTTCCCAGTCTTCATCCTTGTTTATCTTCACAGCTTTCTTCGACTCTTCCCACAAGCGTGTCGTCAACTGATGATCATTCACCAACCAATGATTATTGAACTGATGACAGAATTTGTACAAATTCCCACTGACACCTTCCAATTCTGGTGCAGCCGCTAGGTATGCTATCTCTCGACCAACGTCCTCTTTCCTCTGTCCAATTATGTTTATAAAGAATTTGGAAACATGTTGAACAAGCCCTGGAATATTACCCAATATGCTCGTGTCTCGCACCACAAAAGGATCGTAAGCATTTGCAGTCACTCCTGTATGCTGCAGCCTTCTGTCCAGCTCCGCATTGAATAAATCGACTGCCAATTTCGAACTTCCCAATGCTGTTATTATATTATATCGTCCAATGTCATTCCAGTGATCAAAATTTATTTCACCAAAATACATTGCTCCTCCAATACCATTTACGATCCTACTTGGAGCTGACGCTTTCAACTTAGGCAGCAATAGGAACGTAAGTAAGAACGCCCCAAAGTAATTCACTTGCATTGTAAGATTTAAGTCATCAGCTGTCAGTTTGTCGGGAAGTGCCACAGCTCCTGCATTGTTTATCAACACATTTATTTGATCTTCAGCATTCAATTCACTCGCCAAATTCCTCACTGATTTAAGAGATCCCAAGTCAACTGTTTTGTATGCAACATTGTGATTACCAGTTGTTTCTATGATATGGCGTTGAGCTGCTTTCAGTTTGGTTTCATTTCTGCTCGCGATGATGACTCTGGCTCCACGACTTGCTAGATTTTTAGCAGCTTCAAAGCCCATTCCTGAGCTTCCACCAGTCACCACAATCACTTTACCATTTAATTTAGCCGTAGTATCACACGTCATGATCAGAACATTACGCTCTGAACTTCATAAACAAACTAAAACATAAAAGGAAAAACACAGTAAGCCACGTGCGTCAGCCTACATTACAATATTATTTTTAATTCAAGGTGGAGGGTCCTGAATAACAACGAGATCTCGATTGATTTCCGCATTTGCTACGACCGATGATAAAAACGTCGTACTTTGATCTTTTATATGTACGTTAACCGAGTCATTCAGAATCTGAGTATTTGAAGTAGCATCATTACTATGCTACTTCAATAAGTCATATTTCATCGTAATCAAAAGTAAGTTTTAATAAATTGAGACCTTTATAATTTTCATCATTATCATCATCACTTATCGCATCATTACTATGCTACTTCAATAAGTCATATTTCATCGTAATCAAAAGTAAGTTTTAATAAATTGAGACCTTTATAATTTTGTTTTGCCTTTTTATTTCAATTTTGTCGTGAAATTGTCACTCGATGTGAGATTCTGTAGTTAAACCAAAAACCAGATTTAACGAAAGTGGCGTAATAAAAGCATTTCTTGTTTTAAAAGAGACTGCATTTATTTGTGCAACTTTTACGACGTAAATATCACAGTACAATTAACTCGTGCAGAGTAACTCAACAAGAAGCAAAATTATTACGAATTATAGAAAATATAGAACAACAAATACTTTTTGTATTTATTGTCATAAGGCAAAACGATTTTTCTGGACCAGTTAAAAATCTACTAATGACTTTGGATATTTTTCAACTGATTACCAACAATCAAATTACTAATGGTCTAAAAAGGCTCTGAGCTCTCACTACATAATCACACGTCAAGATCAACAATCGAAGACACAGAATCCCTAAGTCTTACCTTTTTTTTTTTGATGACGGGGCGAAACCTTCAAAAGGCGCCCAGCCTTTTTGGGGATAAAAGACTAGGGAGTGTGGGAATTTTACCTCACTAAAACCACCCCGGTGGCCACCCTCAACACCTGAATGGAGGCACCGGGTCCTCTAAAAGAGACCCCCTAAGTCTTACCTACCTCAGGAGATTAACAAATACTGCATCGAATGCCTTGGCAAAATCTAACACTAACACAAAGCCCGCTGAGCTCTCAGCACAGCTGAATTCTTTAACAAACTTTGAAACTGTTCAATTGAAACATAACACCATGCCTGTTATCCCCGAAGTGGTAAGCAGAGGTGCACATTACGGCACTTAATGTCACTGTAGAATGTAACACCCATTTTGCACTATTTGTGTTATAAGTCCCGTGTGTGTGGGGGTGAGCCGAGCCTATTGCCATATACCGGGCACATTTCCAGACTACGTGCTACTACTGAGATTTTTTTTCAAAACCCAGTAATACATTGCCCGACCCGGGAATCGAACCCGATAACCCTTGCCTGGTAGTCGCACTTGCGACCACTTAGCCAACGCTTAGTTAAAATGACTTGAAAACTACTTTCATAGTGAGAAGGCTTATTTTATCTTTTTTTAATTATGGTTTTGTTTCTACAATATTCTCGAGAGAGATCTTTTAAATTCTTTAATTTATTTATCTAGGTGATTCACTACCAAAAAACTACTTTATTATAATTACGACAACAAAACAAAAACGTTAATATTTATGATTAAATGGCTTTATTAGAAACAAAAGTTATAATGATAGACATACATATATATACATATGTGTGACAATTCAGATTTATAATGTAAAAATGAGGCTTACGTACTACTAGTACAAACTCTATTTAAGTTTGTGTGTTCAAAAATACGTACATTGACCCGGAACATAAGCACGTATAGTGCAACTCAGCCACTGCGCTGACCATGAAGTGAATTCAACAGGTATTTTATTACCTGCAGTTATTTATAAAATAAATGGAGTGGCCTGTCTGCATTCAGCAGTTATCGCGCTTCGATTTATAAAGATCAATACAAAGGCCTCAACGTTTAAAAAAATACTGATCAGAGAAATAGTCATACATTTTAATCAAATCACAGAGGAAATAAGTTGGTCGCCAGCTTCCAGTGGTTGCACTTCTAGGTTACAATATGCGCAAGTCACATTAGAGAATAAATCTAAAGCATTTTGAAAAATACCATCACCGCTTAGATTAAAATAGTTGAATATTTATAAATTAAACACAATCACTTCGAATCATGATGTTCCCAGTCTTCATACTTCGTTATCTTCACAGCTTTCTTCGACTCTTCCCATAAACGCTTCGTCAAATGCCGATCATTCACCAACCAATGATTTTTGAATTTACGACAAAATTTGTACAAATTTCCACTAACACCTTCCAATTCTGGCGCAGACGCTAAATAAGCTATCTCATGACCAGCATCTTCCCTGCTCTGTCCAACGACATTAATAAACAATTTGGAAATCTTCTTAACAATCCCTGAAAGATTTTGCAGGATATCAGTGTCTCGTACCACAAATGGATCATAAGCATTAGCAGTCACTCCATCATACTTTAACTTCCTATCTAATTCTTCATTGAACAAATTAATTGCCAATTCAGATGATCCCAGTGCTTTTACTATATCATATCTCCCAACGTCGTTCCAGTGATCAAAATTAATTTCACCAAAATACATTGCTGCTCCAACTCCATTAAGGATCCTACTCGGAGCTGACGCTTTCAACTTAGGCAGCAATAGGAATGTAAGCAAGAAAGTTCCAAAGTAATTCACTTGCATATTGAGATTCAAGTGATCAGGTGTCAACCTGTCTGGAAGTCCTACTGCTCCTGCGTTGTTAATCAACACATTAATTTGATCTTCAGCATTCAATTCACTCGCCAAATTCCTCACTGATTTAAGAGATCCCAAATCAACAGTTTTGTACTCAACATTGTAATTACCGGTTGCTTCTATGATATGGTGTTGGGCTGCTTTCAGTTTCGTTTCGTTTCTGCTCGCGATGATGACTCTGGCTCCATGACTTGCTAAATTTTTAGCAGCTGCAAAGCCCATTCCTGAACTTCCACCTGTCACCACAATCACTTTACCATTTAAATTAGCTGTAGTATCACACGTCATGATCAGAACGTTACACACTGAAGTTGATAAACAAACTAAAGACAAGAAGAAAATGCATAAACTTACGTACCTGCGTCAGGATACAGTTTAGTTTTATTTTTAATTCATGGTCCTGAATGCAATAACAATGAGATCTCGATTGATTTACGCGTTTTTTGCGATGAGAAAAACAAGTTTGATCTTTGATCATAATAGGTGGAAAACCGAATGATTTAGAATCGTAGTGTATGCGCAATATGCTAATTTATGTTACCTAAGTTATATTTCATCGTTGTCAATTTTGAGATTTATTAATTTCTTAGAAGTCGTCATTCGTGTAATGTGTATCACATGTTTTTCACTGCATTGTCACTTGATCTGAGTTTTAATAGTAAACCAAAAACCAGATCCTTTTAATAATCATTACTTTAATGTATTATACTTGTTTAAAAAGGTTGCATTTGCATTTAATGACATTTTTAGAATAAACCAATGAACAACTTTTGCTAAAAAAGTTAAATATTATAGTTATATTTATTTTTGAATCTTTACACTAATTAAAATGTCTGCGTAAGGGTTCTGCAAAGTCAATAACAAGAAAAATAAACATAGGTATGAATAAATTAAAGGTACTAAATGTATACCAGTTATGTTGACCGGTTTGGAATAATTTGAGTATCAATATGATGTAGATAACAAAGCTTTACAAAACACACAGAACAAAGAATTGTTCTGCACTAAATGTCACAAAACAAAACGATTTTTCTGGAACAGTTAAAAATTCTACTTAATGACTTTGGATGTTTTTCAACTGATTACTATCACTGATGGATTAAAAAAGACTTTGAGCTTCAATTATAAAGGCATAACGAGACCAAACCAGCGGTTAATGACTGTCATTGATTTCTCCATTAGTGAATTTTGGGTTGTTAAACGATCACGTATCATAATCACTAAATCCAGGACTTTTACATCAGTTTTTAATGTCATAAATGAAAGTTTACAACAAACTTTACATAGGGCAAGAACAAAGACTAATATGAATAACATTAATAAATATTTGACTCGTTTATTTTTGATTGTGTATATTATATTAATGCTAGTGTTTGGTTATTGGGCGTCCGTAAGTACTATTGCTTTTATCTGTTTTATTTCTTGACATTTTTACACATCATGTTTTCTCCTGTTTACCTGAGGGCAGAGACAATGAAACGAAAAATATTTTGATGATAGCTTATATGATTATACCTTTTGCATATTTGATGATACCATTTGCTTCATCTACATTATATCAATTCGTACAAGGTCATACATGGTTTAAAGTTAAACCAATTTGCGCTTCCGTTTCATTGAAAACTGAGATTTGTAACCTAAAAATGTATTGCTTCGTAGGATGCCTACCGCCAAGAACGAGCTAAACTGAAATATGCAAACCCAAAGTACATAAAGGATCCAGTAGTATTCACTGGTAGAAGAAACCGAAATTCTCCGTACCAGACCAACATGAGCTGCACAATATTGGTGCCTTTTGGAAATAATGTTAGCGTGAGTAAAACATTTTCCGCTATCATCGGTCGTCATTGTCCGACATGACATTGTCTTATGAGGTGGTGGCAAAGAGTAGGTGGTGGCCTATTTTGATTTACGTATTTTTGAATAATTAGAAATCGGACCCTATTTGCCATTTTTAGCCCAAAATGAAATCTCTTGTGAGAGCAAGCTTATTGATCCGCCATATTAAATGTCGCGTGACTATTGTTTAACTCAGTGCTAAGCAATGCAGTTGTGAACAACCGAAGACCAGGCATGAGCTATTATTTGATGGTTTTAGTGTTGTTCATAATTACAATTTGCTCGAACACACTAGAATTTCACAGACCATCGAAATCCTGTCACGGCCGTCACTGTTCCACATGACCTACCTCTAATAGCAGCTGATATTTGCAGCTGCAATTATGCTAATACTGAAATAACTAAAAATGCTGCAACGTATATTTTTTATGAACATAAATTGGTTTAAATTTTACATCACTTAGACAATTTTCAATTTGTTTATTAAGGGAAATAAAGATTTATACATACATTTGTATAATGATATAATAGAAAATCGGTACTAAAGTTGTAGAAAAGACTGTAGGACTATAATACATTGCTCAATTGGCGTAATAAATTGAAGATTTGAAAATAGACAAGGCATTTGACATCATTTTATATTGCCAGAGGTCAAGTTTGAGTTCATAAAAACAATTTTCTTTATTTCAGTTTGCGACAACATTCACAATGGTATCTGGTGGAGATTTCCGCCTGGTGACAAAAGCATGTGACTGCAGTAAATCCAAGTGGATACACGACTTCATGCAATCGTACACAAACTTGACACTTAAAAAGTGCCCCTATCCTCCTGTAAGTATAAGATGATGACCTTTACGAGCAATCAATTGGTGATGCATCTTCAACTCGTTCTATATAATAATAATTTAAGCTTTTGAAGGCAGCTTTTATACTCAATGTGTTCTTTATTTCCAACAGTATCTGTATTCATGAATTAAATGTCTTCAATACCTCTCACACATTATTTCTTGACAGGGAAGATACGCGTATTACAACATAGAATTACCTCCAAAGAATATTCCCCTACCAATAGTTAAAGGTGACTACTGGATCAAGTTTGAGTTCTTCGTGACCGATACGAAGGAGCCTATTGTAGAAGTCGACTCATTACTGCACTATGATCCGACGGCCAATGCTAAGAGATCGAAGGGAAAGAAGGGTTAAACAATAAACAATTAAAAGTATCTAGTATTTCATTTTTTACAACGTATTTGACTTTCGACATACTGCAAATGCTCTTCTAAATACTAAAACAAAACATCTATTGCATATTTAGCGGCATGCACTGCCAGAAATGTGTTATCCTAAATTATTATTTCTGCACTACCCAAAGGTTACCTGACAGAGAATGCTGTGATCGTGAAGTGAACTATGTGCATATGTATAAAGTAGGTAGGTAATAAATAAAAAATGAATGATGCAGACGCAGACACAATTATAATCGTAACCAGCCACAATAGACGAACTCAGTCTACCGAAACATATTTAAACCGAGGCATTTCATTATATTAAGCTATGTATTTAATCAGGTAATTTCAACTACAACATAAACTTACCTATGATGTTAATCATAGGGATATTAAAACGACACCACTATTTCATTTATCAATATTATGTGGACAGTGAAATCGACCAGCATGAAGTGGTTTATTATATTCGTTTTTATATTAGCTACTGCTGTTAAATGTTCTGCTGTAAGTATTCTATAATCATAAAAAATAATTGACATGTCCTAATTCGTTGTCTAACTTGCATTCGATATTGTTTTAGTCCGACATAAAAGAGAAGAAGCAAATAAAGCAAGAAGCGGCAAGATTTACTAAATGTAATGAAAAATATGTGTCAGATTGTTACGCCATTACAAAACGGGTTAGAAGAGGAGAACCGTATAGAACCAATTGTTCAACAATCTCTAAACACGCATGGGGTAATAATGTGACGGTTAGTATTATAATGTAGTATTTTTGGTACACTCAGAGGCTTTTGACAAGATGGACTTTACATTAATCGGTTTTAGTTAGAAGTAAAACACAAAACAGTAAACAGAAAGTTACTTTATACAATTTAGATAACCGTACTATGCCTTGTGTAAGAAATATAATAAGAAAGTGGTCATCCTCGATATTTTTTACATGGTATAATATGGAGTTCCACAGGGCACAATATTGGGTCTTTTATTATTTGAGTAATTTATTACATATATATTAATGTATTTTTAGATGAGAGGCGAAATACTTATTGATGGAGTAGCAATCGAGATAGTAAGAGGAGAAATATGCGACCTGTTGAAAATTGATTGGGTGTATAATTTCACGATGACTTATTCTAACGTTCGTCATTGTCCCTATAAAGCGGTAAGACTTATATTTATAGATATTAAGAAATAGATACATACATGCATACCCTTACGTCTGTCTCTCATGTCTATGTCACAATGAAACGTGAAATTTCTACGATTCTTACATACTTACCTATTTCGCTTTGCTTCGCTTAAGAAATATAATTATTAATATTTAGCTGCTACGATTGAATAGGTTCATTAAATGTTTTTTTTTAATATTTAAAAATAATTTAATTTGTTTTTCCAGGGATATTATGCATTTTTCAACATAGAACTACCACCAAAGAATATGCCTCAGAACATTCTGAAGTTAATAAAAGGACAATTTACGACAAATATATATTTCTCACTTACAAAAACTGGTGAGACTATCATAGAAATGACTGTGACATTACGGACTTAGATTATTGTGTATTTTAATTTAAATTATTTGATATTGCTTCTTGTGTAAATGGTTGTTTTATTTTAATTGTAATTAAGAACTAGCTACTTCTGCGCGATTTCACCCGCTCTGTTCGCTCTTAAAGGTCGCAGCGTCATATTTTATAGCCTGTCCTGATCATTTCACTATCCAGCAGAAAAAAATATCAAATCAGACCAGTGGTTCCGGAAATTAGCGCGATCAAATAAACAAACAAATTCTTCAGTTTTATATATTCGTATACATAGTACCTATATAAGATTTGTCATGTGTGGTGACACCGTACGATGCCGCTTCCAAAGAGCTAGAGGACTGATGATCTAGATGAAGGATCGGTAGAGCAGCACTTCTAAAGCAGCAACTTTGAAACAGCAAATCAAACCTGCCTGCAAAGCTTACGAAATAATACAATCTTGTTACTGTGATTTGTAATGTATTTATTTGTTACCACCATATCGTATAAGGTCAGCAGCTCGTTCCGCCATGGCCACAATCACGGAGTTTGGATACAAGGAGATCGGAGATGGTAGAACACTTGCGTCCACTACTCGTAGACCTGATACTGGCTTGACTCTGAAAGTAGATTGATGAAAAAATGTTTCACACATATCTGAGAAAATAGGGAACAATATTTGTTTCGATAAGGATGACCATGAACTGATGATGATTGATTGATGATGATTCACTATAACCATGAACGATGCAAAACGATGTAATTGATTAAGATTAGCCGATTCCCAATTTTTTAAACTACATGAACCTAACATTCCTTGGACGTACGAGAATAATCATAAGACTAAGTATCCTTGTTTTTAATTTACCGTAATTGTTCGTCCACGACTCTTCCACCAGCACAGGTTCCTCCAGCATGATGTCCAGTCACCGCCACCTCCCTGATAATGCACTCCAAGTAAGCGTCTGGAGGACTTTGTATAGGCTTCGGTTTGGGCTTCTGTTCTTTTGTTTGTGACTGCTTTTTAATACCACTGTAAGATAAATAAGATCACATAACATAACATCACGCCTTTTATCATCAAAGGGGTAGGCAGAGGTGCACATTATACCACTGTACAATGTAATACCCACTTTTCACTATTTATGTTATGTAATAGGGGGTGAGCCTATTGCCATATACCGGGCACAGTTCCAGACTCCGTGCTACTACCGAGAATTAAAAAAAAAACGGAAATCGAACCCGAGCCCCTTGCCCGGCAGTCGCAATTGCGACCACTCGGCCAACGAGGCAGTTAAATAAGATTTTATACAGAAATGAAATGAAATACATTTATTCGGCATAAGACATGCACGCCAGGGAAAAAATACATATACATAGCAATAAAAAGGTTTAAAAACAGACATAGAAAAACAAGATAATAAGGTACCTAAATTATAAAACTAAAACAAGCTAATAATACAGGTGCAATATACAACTTCTATGTAATATAAGTAATACCACAATAGATATATTAAGAACTAATTGAAAAGACAATGTCCAAAATGGCCCTGTGTTATAAAGAGTATCTGAATAATATACAATAATTAATCCCCTATTTTAATAAATAAGTTGCAAATACTTCTGTATCACGGACTAGCTGTATTCCAAAAAGTACTTTTAAAAGAATTTAACGCGATTAATAACATTAGATCGCCATCTTTACCTAATGGCAAATGCCTCCGCCTAATGCATTAAATAAATAAATAAATAAATCAGCAAGTCCAATGTCATGTCGTGTCGAAAGTGAAATAGGGATGTTCAATTAATTATAATCGATTATTGTGTTTTTTTCTTTATGAATGTTGTCATACTCCCATTTAAATAGGTAGTAAAATAATAATATAGGTACAGTAGGTAATCAAAACTTCCTTATTTCTATACAATCATTCAAACATTCAACATTCGTTCAAATATTCGTTGTTATGGTAGGATTATAATCTAATACTTTTTTTGAAATATATAATTTCTGCGGCAAGTCCACTATAAAAACAAGACCTTCTAGGAGTCTAGAAATGATAGAGAATACTAATAATATGTAATTATCCGATACTCTTGGCTCCAGGGCCAACAATATATGGACGCAGAACTTTCCTTTCTTGCTAAACTAAGTAGACCTCAAAGACCTAGTCAACAGAATGAAAAATTCACAACCGAATTATCTTTAGTTTAAAATATAATAGAGATTTTAGAATTCAGCAACTGCGGCACTATACCAACGAAACAGTACTTAGAGGTATATTAAGAAAGTAATGAAGCAGCTACAAAGCTATGAAATAACTCACAATTTCCTCTTCCTCATCACGGGTCCTCTCTGATCTTCTTTGCTATACCTCCACAAGGATAAACATCGTTCAGGTCGAGGCCAGTGTATCCGTGCTCCAATGTCTTGGAATGGCTTGGTAGATACTAATTCTTCTGCTCTACGTATTGCTGATATAATTAAAAACAATGAATAACTTTCGCTATTTGTAGCTTAAAAATAAAATACGGTATTACTCAGTCCTAGTTCATGAATACATATTAATAAATCCAACAACATCGCTTTATTAGTATTGATATTATCGCTGGATTAAGGGGTTTATCACCTCCGGGATGGACATTATAAGGACTAAAGCAATCAGATTTTAATGAGACAGATATTTTAAATACTTAGGAGATCAATGATCAAGAAGAAGCTAGCTTAGCTTCCAATACTTGCCTTTCACCATACACTTGACATCGTAATATTGCTCCAGGTAGTTGGGGTCTACAATAGGCGGCATAGAGGTGGTGGAGTCAGCGAGAGTGATGGTGCCCCTACTTCTCGGCTGCACGCAGGTCGACAGGAACATGAAACCTTCCTTGTTGGTGTTGTTGTAGAAAGGGAAGGTGTCACGGAATACCTAGGAACCATTAAACTCTGATAGATAGGTTTATACATAACATAACATCACGCCTTTTATCCCCGAAGGGGTAGGCAGAGGTGTACATTATGCCACTGTACAATGTAACACCCACTTTTCACTATTTATGTTATGAGTTCCATGTAATAGGGGGTGAGCCTATTGCCATATACCAGGCACAATTCCAGACGCTGTGATACGCTCCGTGCTAAGTCTTTTGAGTAACCCTAACCCAGTAATACTTTTCCCGACCCGGGAATCGAACCCGAGACCCCTTGCCCGGCAGTCACATTTGCGACCACTCGGCCAACGAGGCACTCCAGTTGTTAGTCCTATTGCAATAAGATAGATCCGTAAGTAGATACCTACTCCTTATTTGATTTGGCAGTTCAATGATCCGTTATTGTCTTTGTAGACCGAAAACTATGCTATTATTAATAAAGCCATACAAAGTGATGTTTGGGAAACATACAAAATCATATAGTTGAGGGATTGACTATGAAATATCATGTTCATCAAGTTTCTTTACTTATGAGAGAATAAGGTAGATGACTAATTTTTATTTTAATGTCCGTCTGGTAGATTATTTTAAAATATTACATGCGTATTTTTTATTTTTTTACAGAAACGAATACTTTCGACGATATATTGATTTGAAATGTCGCCTGACGTCACTTCTATGTACATTTTATACGTAGAAATGACATTTTAGCCCCCACTCCTAAACTTTGATTTGTCATATCTAAGTATAAGTAATTTTATTAAACATCAAAATAAAAAAATACGTGTCTTTTCATTACCTAACTGACGGACTAATCGGATTTTTAATTTTCATACCCTGTCATCATATATTGATGCAAAGCGATAATTGACAAACAACTTGGTCAACTTCGTCTTTTAGGTAACATTGTAGTTAACTCACTTGAGGTTTGTAGTTAGATAAATCTCTCAGCAGTCTCTCGCTAGCTGTGCCCATGGAGAACAGCATTACTGCAGACGTATTCTGGTACTCCACTCCCGATAAAGGAGGAAATGCTAGAGGTCCTAGAAATAATATGTAATGTAATTACGTGTTACGGGAAAGATTCCTAGTTTCATAGTTTGTGATTTTTTTTATTTGATGGGGCGACCTACGATGGAACACATCGGCCATAAGAAACCTATTCAGTTGGGCCTTGAAGACACTCAGATTATACCCTTCCGGAAACACAGACTCTGGCAAAGAATTCCACTCCTTAGCAGTACGCACAAGGAAGCTTGATGCGAAGCGCTTCGTGCGAGTGAGTGGGACTTCTACCATGAATCGGTGATGTTTTGCCGATTGTCTTTCTTACCAGTGTTCTTCCAGAAGTACTCGAAGGCAGTTGTGAACGTGAATACTTTGGACAGAGTCACGCTGATCGGCCTCTGTACGCTGACGTATATCGGCATGTTCATGTGGTCGTGAAGGTTCCTCCCCACCTCCTTGTTTGGATACACTAGCTTTATTTTTAACCTGAAAATTGTACATCTACATCTTAATATTTTTTATTTATACGCAGAGGTACAGGTACCTCGTCTGGTGGTGAACGATGATGCGGCCTTCGATGGAGCACAATTATGTAATGATACACCCTTTTTATTATCCTAGTTGTAGTGACGTCAGATGTATGAATGTGTTGGAAGCTAATGAAGTACGTAAGTAGTAAGGATCGCAGTAATACTCAAATTATCTATTTCAGTTAAATTGAAAGTAAAACATTGAAATACTGAAAATTTAAAACGTCAGTCTAACGGTTGAGCCCCTTGATGAAGATGTTCGAAAGAAGTGGTCTGTGCATATTTGTGGGTTTTATTTTTATCTTCTGCCTTAAGACACTGGCGTTAATATATGTATGTATTGTTATTTCCATAAGAACATAGGTACCGTTTTAACAAATCAGGTGGTCCGATACCAGACAACATCAACAGCTGCGGAGACTTTATAGCACCGGCCGCCACTATGATCTCCTTGTTCGCAAATATATTGTCGAGCTCGCGGTGGTTTTGGAGTATGTATAATGACGATGCTGTCATGTTGATGAACCGAATCTGTAAAAAAAATTGAACAGTAGGAAGATACAGGCAGAAGTCTTTCTATAGTTTAAAAAACTTCAAAAGAAACTGTATATGGGATCGACTTACCGACACAGCTTGTGTTTTCAATAACACATGGAGATTCTTTCTGCCCAAAACTGGTTTTAAATAAGCGTTCAATGTGGAATGTCGAGCGCCATCTTTGATAGTCGCTGTTGGTCTTCTAAAGATGTTCTTCTTGGAGTGCATGGACGCCAGTCTGAAGATATTCATCAGCTCGTTGTCATCGTCTATTTGTTTCAATTTCATTGGCACCTGGGGAAAATTATGGGATACTGATTAGGTTCTTATAACATGCACTAGGTACCTAAATGTATCTAGGTAAGTAGCTGCTAGTGCGGTCAGATTATTGCGTTCTTCAGAAGGTCTCACCTTAGCCGCAGGACAGTCTCCGTCTATCGCACAATGTCCGGAATCAAATTCACTCCTCACAGTCCCAAAAGCTTTGATAAAATACGGTTTCAAATCTCTAAAGGTCCATCCATTGAAGCCGAGTTGTGCCCATCTGTCATAGTCTCCGAGCAGGCCAGAGCCGTGAAGAAGAAAGTTGATCTGGCCTGAACCTCCGAGTCCTTTACCACGCGGAATAAATTGGGACTGGAAGAAAAATTTTAGTCTTTATAAAGTTCAAAAGAAAGTTACAATACAAATATTGATAAAGTTCGAAAATAATTAAAATAATTCGACAAATTGAAATAGGTTGAAGAGCTGGTATCAACGCCTTCCTAGAATTATCTTCTCTCCACATTATGGGTGTCTACAGTGCAGATACGTGGGTAACTGGTTGATCACGTATCTGCAATCCTGGTTGAGTGGTTGCAAACCATATTGTTGGATATCGTTAATCGTCATCATTATCATCATCATCATCAACAGCCTAAATGCCCACTGCTGAGCAAAGCCTCTTCTCACACGAAGAAGGTTTGAGCATTAATCACTACGCTTGCTCAATGCGGGTTGGCTATTACAAACTTATAGGTAATTAGAAATTATAATATATTGTTAATCGTCAAATCTTTAAGTCTAAATAAAATAATAAAAAAGTGGCAAGTCCCTAAGTAAATAACAATGCTTTCAAAATTTTATCGTTCTCTTTACTGATGGTACCTGCATCCATCACTAACACAGATAGGAATTACTCAAGTAATAATTTGTTACCTGTCCCCAAAGTCCAAAAGACGAATATTTCTGTGGTTTAGTCCTCACAGACCAGTCGTCAGGTCCTTGTTGTGCTGCTGTGGGAGTCAATGGAATCCTGGTGAAGAAGCCCATGTGGTCTCCAGCTTCCACTAGTAGCACACTGGTGTTTGGATCCTCGCTGAGACGGGAAGCGAGCACGCAACCCGCTGTGCCAGCTCCGACTTTAATAATAATAGATACATGGAATGGAAGGCCAAAGATGTCACTGGGTAATAGGTTCATGTTCAAATCGTGAGACACTCGCAAGTCAAGTAAGTGTGGACCGGAGTGATACCACGCCCTTACAAAAGACCGACGTGAAACAATGCTTGCGTTGTGTTTCGTCGCGTGAATTAGGTTACCGGAGGCCCAATTACCCCTCCCCTCCTCGACGAACGATCCTCAAAATCCTAATCCCCGAAGGCAGTAACGCACTTGCAACACCTCTGGTATTCCAACGCGAGGCGAGCAAGGGCGACGCCGATTGCTTACCTTCAGGCGATCCGTCTGAGCAGACCGTCTGCTCGTTTACCAACTTGTACCATAATAAAAAAAAGTGAGGCATTCGCATGCGTCAGCTTTAAGTGTAATGTTCATTATTTTAATAAATAAAACGTCTCTTACGATTTGGACAGCACATATTATCGATATTAAATTAATCTCTAAAATACAATAATACTCACCAATGATGTAGTCATATCTTTTCTGCGGCTTAATAATAATACTTGTATACACATTCACATATTTTTGATACACTATATATGATACACAAGCTAGTAAAAGTCCAAATAAGTTCGAGTATAAAGCCATTATTTATAAATTATCACATCTGTTAAAAATTTTATAGCAATGATTTGCAATGAAACATTTTTGCACTTCATATACAATTAGGCGTGTTAAACTGTGAACACTATTATTAATGAGACAATTATAACTCGGGTAGAAATGAAGGGATTTCAACGCGGGAAGTCCGATAGTTCCGTAGTTTGATTTCTATAATGTTATTTAATTCTTACGTTGCCTGGTTTAATTGAATTAGGCAGGGGTAGTAAACCATAAGCGTTAACCATAGATGTTTGATATTTTGAAACATAAATTCATGATGAAAAACGTGTATTGCAGATTTATATTTAATCATCTGGATTATGCAAATGATATTCAACAAGCGTGGGTTCAATGGGTATTTGAACCCACGAGGAGGCAAACGAGCCGACGGATCACCTGATAGTAAGCGATCAGCGCCGCCCATGGACACCCGCAAAACCAGAAGAGTCACAGGTGCGTTGCCGGCCTTTTAAAAGGACTACGCTCTTTTCTTGAAGGTTTGAAGGTCGTATCGGTTCGGAAATACCGCCGACGACAGATCATTCCACAGTTTTGCTGTGCGAGGCAGGAAGCTACGTGAGAAGCGCACAGTTGTGGCCTGCCAACCATCTATATGATGGGGATGAATATGCTGTCGTGAGGGTCGATGGCGAAAAGATGCGGCAGGTATCAGGTCAAACAATTCCTCAGAACACTCCCCACTTCTGGAAACTCAGATTTTTACTAGGTAAAGATTCATAGAAACTTACGATGAACATTAAATTTATTTTTAAGTGTGGGAAGAAAATCCTTCATGAAAATGTCCGATCATATAAAAATTTTACTACATGAATATATTGACCACTCACTAGTACAAAATGTTGAGACTACCTGGCCACTAAGAGGATTAGTCTGCGATACCCACAATACGGCGGGAAATCGATACATCTTTTATGTTACGACATCCAACATGTCATGTTAATGACCGCTGTGCCTTGTATGATAGTATAGTATTTTTTTTAAGGAGGGAAAATCATCGAATGACTGCTCCCGCCTGGGTGAGACGGGAGGGAGTGTCAGACTTACTGACTAAGAACCACCCTGTTCCTACTCCTGCACATCGAGCCGGAGCCCCGGTAACCCGACATAATTAGGTTCTCCACGACATGAAAGTATAGTTCAGCTCATAAAATCTAATACTAAGTATTTACAACAAAGGGACCTATTGAAATCTATATTACATATTTCATGGTCTCTGTAGTTGTTGCCAATCTCTAATCGAGAAAACTATGCATATGTTATATTTGTAAAGGTATCTACATAAAATGTAAAAACACATATACTACCCAAACTAAAGAGAAAGGGCAATAGAAATGAAATAAAATACATTATTAGCTTAAAATTTAATTTATTTACAAAGTAATAACCGTTTGATTACTACATATTTTTACTCTGCAACCTGGGTTACAAAGTAAAAATAAACTTAAAACTAACTTATATAAATATAAAAAAACTTATACTAAATAAATGAAATAACCATTGAGTTGTTCATTTTGCACACAAGAAAATTAAACATATGAAACTAAAATTATTACTTAAATTTCGTATTTTATACTTACCTGTGCAATAAACCACAAAAATATGTCCAAACAAACTGTCATATAATTTTACTAGAAGTCACAATTGTATAATTTAATAAATACTTCGTATCATTCTGATGATAACTGTTAAGTATCTCCTTGTAAGGGAACGATGCGCACGCCAATTAAACTCGCTAGTTAGTTGCACACTGGTTTATTTTATCTAAACTTCATAGCGGAGCGGGGAAGCGGGGCGCAGCCCGCATTCTACCTTTGCATCTATACATACATACATAACATCCCTCCCCCTTAAACTATGAATACTTTTAACTAATTATACTTAATCATA